TTCTTTCCAAAACATCGACGGCATTTTGTTGGGAATATATAAATATTCTCCATTGTCAGGCTCTTCGTTTATTCAACTACCACCATGTATTGAATATAAACGGGCTACTATTAACCCTCAAAACTCAGATCAGCAATGTTTCAWGTGGGCTATATTAGCAAAACATGTTGTCGGAGAAAATAAATACCGCGTCAATAACAATTATACCGAGCATGAGAGCAAATATAATTTTGAAAGCATCTCATTCCCGACTCCACTGTCAGACATTAAAAAATTTGAAAAAAACAATCAAAACGTCTCTATAAATGTGTTCGGTATCCATAAACAATATTTGCCACCACCTAAACTTCCAACATATAAGATATTCCCGCTCAAAGTTGTAGATAACGAGAAGCAAGACCACTTTGATCTTCTATTAGTTACTGAAAAAGAAAAATCACATTATACTTACATATCTGATTTTTCAYGGCTTATAAGATCTCAAAAAACTAGGCACAACGGTCGTGTTCTATTTTGTAAAAGATGTTTTGATGATAGGCGTCGTAAATTTAAATTGAGCGAACAAGAGGCACATAACCAGAATATGATGATATGTGGAACTCACAAACCCATACTTCCTGTTATGCCGTCAGAGGGAGATACCCTTGAGTTTGAGGGCTGGGGAAAGACACAGCGACACCCGATCGTTATTTATGCGGATTTCGAGGCTCTACTAGTAAAATGTGATGAGAGAAAAGGCAAGAGCACAACTGCTTTTCAAAAACACGAGCCTATGAGTTATGGGATATATGTAAAAGCAGCAGAAAATGTACCAATCGAGTTACTAAATAAATTTAATATACCATCATCCGTTATTATTTACCGAGGATCTGAGACGCGAGCGGAAGTTGCTAAACATTTTGTAGAAAATGTTGTGGAAATATCGAGAAAAATAGAGGATCTTTTGAAGTCAAACGTAGATATAATTATAAGTAATGAAGAGCAAGAGAAGCATGATAAGGCTACAACTTGTAATTTATGTAAAAAAGATTTTACTTTTTTAAACGAAAAAGTAAGAGACCACTGCCACCTGTCTGGTCAGTTTCGCCAGACGATTTGTAATTCATGCAATTTAGCGTTGAAGACGCCGAAATTTGTGCMTTGTTTCTTGCACAATCTGTCTAACTACGATGCACACTTCATTGCCGTTGAGTTGGGGTACGATGAGAAAAGTATTRCGGTTATTCCCAATAGCGAAGAGAAATTTATTTCTTTTTCAAAATATATCTCAAGTAAATTTACTTTAAGATTTATCGATACATGTCGGTTTATGGCTTCAAGWCTTTCAAATTTAGCTACGAATCTGATAACACCGGACTTAGAGAAATTCAGAGAAACCGCAAAACATTTTTCTAATGAAGACTTGTCGCTTGTCACCCGTAAAGGAGTATATCCATACGAGTTTACTGATGATTGGTCTAAGCTTGAACAGACAACTTTACCACCAAAAGAAGACTTTTACAGCACACTAACAGAAGAACACGTTAAAGAAGAAGAATACGAACATGCGACAAAGGTTTGGAACCATTTCAACTGTCGAACACTTGGAGAGTACAGTGATCTATACCTGAAAATCGATGTTCTTCTGCTAGCAGATGTTTTTGAAAACTTCCGAGACATATGTCTGAAAACATACAACCTAGATGCTGCTTTTTATTACACCGCTCCTGGATTAAGCTTTGATGCATGTCTAAAATATACATCGATAAAGTTAGAACTTTTAGCCGATTACGATATGCTGTTGATGTGTGAAAAGGGAATAAGAGGAGGACTTACACAGGCCAGCCTCCGTTATGGCAAAGCTAATAATTATAAAACACCCAACTATGACTCGAGTAAGCCGGACTCGTGGATAATTTACCAGGATTGTGAGTCTAGCTTATTATCTCTTAATATATCATTCCAAACATTTAATTATTATTATTATTATTATTATTATAGGTAACAACTTATATGGATGGGCCATGTCGGAGTACATGCCGTATGGTGGCTTCAAATGGGTTGAGCCTACTCTCGATGGTTTGGAATGTTTAAATGAAACATCGGAGATAGGACGAATGTATGAAGTCGATATCGAGTATCCACAGCACTTACATGACGATCATAATGATCTACCATTCTTGCCTAACAAAAGTATACCACGCGGTTCTAAAATACCAAAACTCATGGCAACGTTCGAATCTAGAGAACATTATGTCGTGCACTATCGTAATTTGAAACAGGCAATGGCAAATGGTTTAAAAGTTAAAAAAGTAAATATTTAAATACTTGATTAAAAATATCAGATAAATTAAATAATTTTGATCTAGGTTCATAGAGTGTTACAGTTTAGACAGTCACCTTGGTTGGCGAATTACATTCATTTAAATACCGAATTGAGAAAGAAGGCCAGAAATGAGTTTGAGAAAGATTTTTACAAACTTATGAACAATAGTGTGTTTGGTATGTTATTATACTATAATTATTATTATTATTATCTATAACTTTTTTTTTTTATTCCAGGAAAAACCATGGAAAGTGTGAGATCTAGGATAAAGATGGAACTTGTCTCGAGTGATAAACGGTTACAGAAACTTATAAACCGGACGACATTCAAATACTGTACCAATTTTGAAAATAAAAGTCTAACAGCGGTAACAATGGAAAATAAAATCATARATTTCTATAAGCCAATTTATATAGGTAAATTTTATAAACATCTTTATTTTATTTTTTTATTATTATTTTACCATATGAACAGGTTTTGCTGTGCTTGAGATCTCTAAAACATTAATGTTTGATTACCATTATAAAGTGATGAAGAAATTCTATGGTCCCAGAATATTTCTTATGTATACCGATACAGGTGAATATTTATTTTCCTAGTTATTTTTTTGTTTTTTTCTCTCATATAATTTATGATTTAGATTCATTGATATACTATATTCTGACGCGGGATTTTTATTCTGACTTGAAAAATAATCCAATCTTACTTGACCGCTTGGATACATCAGACTTACCGAGTCATCACCCATGCTATATGACCGAGAGGAAAAAAGTACCTGGTTTCTTTTCAGATGAGACAAAAGGTCGTGCAATGATTGAGTTTGTTGCCCTGAGATCGAAATCATATGCCTTTAACATCGAAGGAGGAGAAAAAATTAAAGCTAAGGGGATTCGGTCTCACGTAGTCAAACACCACATGACCATAGAAGATCATAAAAAATGTTTGTTTGGTGAAGCTGGAGTGGAGGTATACAAGGAAAAWGTATCTATTCGGTCATTCAAACATCAGTTGATGACGATAAAATCAAGAAAGCTAACTTACAACAGTTATGATGATAAGAGAGTGGTATTAGACGATAAAATCCATACCTTGGCTCACGGACACTATAGTTTAGAGTAAGTTTTTTTTTTTTTTAAATTATTTTACTTACAAAATTTATAATTTTATAGGGATGATGACGAGCAGATTGTTGATTAGCCAGATCATAAGATAGATGCTGGTGGTCGTGAGTGGGAGGAATCTGATAAAGATTTGATGAGATTACTTCTACAGGAATACATGTCTAAATAATTAAAAACTATGCATGTTTTTATTGTAAATACTATGTATATATTTTTTTGTTATATATTTGTATTGTAAATATTTTGTTATTTTAAATATCACTTGAATAATTTTTGTATATATAATGTAAATGTTAGATTACCCATGTAAAATAAAAACGTTGTAAAAATATAATATTATTATGTTTATTAAATGAAATGTATATCATTTTTAAGAATTATTTACAAACCATTTTCTTATGGCAAATATTTTATAAAATGTACATTGTTTTGGATTAAATCCCATATGAAAAATACAGCAAGGTAGAGTTTCATCATCACATATTTGATCCAAACGAGGGCAGCCCAAGTCTTCAATGTTGGCGAGTACGACGTGTGGTATATACTCCATAAGAACTTGTTTTTTCTGTTCGCCTTTGACGTAAATGCATCTGAATTTTAATGAATTCAATATTCTACCTAGTTCTTCATACTCTATGTCACCGTATTCTATAGATAGTTGATGATAATTACGTTCCAGCCACTTGTTAGTTTTACGACTTTTGTTATCCTCCGTGGATTTTGAATGTTTAAAAATCCAGTGTTGGGTCGCCTAAGTTTCTATGTCTACTATAGACATTTCTTTAATCATGTATTTATTGTTCAAGCCAAGAACGCATTGCATGTCCAAGATGGCTGAAGACATTATGGCTTGTCTTTATAATAAGTTTCTATAGTGTTAAGACGGCT